GCTCCGCACAACCCAATCCACAAGACACTGAGGAGGAGGAGGTGGAGGGCTGGATACACAGGAGAGGATTTAGGTGAAAGGAGGAGATGTGGAGGTGGTAACAAAAACAGAGAAGAGAAAAGAGAAAGGCGAAGAAAAAGGGAAGGTAAGAAGGAATTAGAGACAGGAGGGAGGAGACTGAAACATATGATAAGCTAAGTGTAGTTATGGCTTTGTACAAAGTAGTTTTCAAGCACTGATTTTTCAGATATACTTCTAGATATGATGCTTTACACAAACACATAGTTTTTTTTGTAAATATGATTGATTCTGTCGTTATATAATAATATTTAATATATAATATCATTTATATGGAATTGAACAGAATGAAAACTACAATATCCAAAATATAAATGGAGGTTAAACCTAATAAAGTTGATACAGGAGCTTCAGGTAGTCATGTTTCTGATCAGGTCGCTGTCCACTCAAGATGGACGTGCTGGGATTATCACAAATTTAGAATTTGCCTTTCTTTCTTTCTTTCTTTCTTTCTTGTTTTTTTCATTATTATTGTTGAAAGCATCTTATCAACAACCTGGTCTTCACTGCAATAAATGTCTGCAGTGAAGCAGCTCGTGCAGGGAAATACTTGAAGGACAACAAGCCTAAAGGACCTTTTCCCTTAGCTTTGTCCACATCATCTTGTTGTGTAGGCATGTGTGTGTTTTGGTTCCCTCTGTGTGTCTTTACCAGACTGGTTCTCTGCTCTCTCTGACAGTTTGATGCAGGGCACCGGGGTTACATCTGAGGGAGTGTTTTTAGCGGTCACCAGTCTACAGAGGGGACGCTAGCTGGCACCATCTGGTCATGAGATCCAACGTTTATCTGGCACAGTCTTGGCCAGTGTCCATACCTGCTTGTTGTACACACACACACACACACACACACACACACGCATATTCCTACCTTACCAACAGTGGACCTTTGGACCACACAGACCAAATGTGAACCTCTATTTTCTAGTCATTGAAAAAAAAAAAAAACAGAAAAGAAAAGAAATGCAAAATTTCTTTCATGATAAAACTGCAAAACTGCTTTTGTAATTTTCTTTTAAAAGAGAGACCTTGCACACCACAGCAGGACTGGTTTTGATGCTGCTCCTCTCACCCTTTAAGGTCACAGACAACCTCACCACGCTACTAATTGCATGAGGAACTTCTGTCTGAGCACTTTGTCAGTCTTCACTTTTGGTGTATTTCCTTCAAAAGTCAGTTACAGGAGGTATTTGATCTGTGCTCCACCTCTGTTCATGTTCATGAGTAGCATTTTGCTGCAGCATGAAGGAGAGGTTTGAACTCACAAAGTATAATTTTTATATAAAGTGTTGGCTCTGCCGTGTGCTGCCACACCACTGCGGTTCCGGTGCAGGTGGCGGTGTGAGTGGACCTCCAAAATCTCCCTTGTTGGTTCACCATTGGGGAGTGTGTAACATCTGGGAAGCCCGGTATTGGATAGGTACACACACACACACACACACACACACACACACACATGTACAAGCACTGGGGGTCAAGCTACCCTAAACGACAGGCTGAGAGCAGATGTCCATCAACCCTCCCAGTCCAGTTAATTAAGCAGCATCACAAACACCAATGAGGCAACTGACATGCACACACACACACACACACACACACACACACACACACAAGCATAATGTATGTCCAAACAGTTCAACGGCTGTTTGTCCTTACTGGAGGGCAATAGTGACGCATGAATAGTAAATGTGTGTGTGTGTGTGTGTGGTTGTGTGTGTGTGTGTGTGTGTGTGTGTTTGGTGTGTGTGTGTGTGTGTCAGAAGGATTTATTGCATAAACAAAAACTGCAACCAAAGATGTCTCAAACCAGGTCTGAGGCATCAGCTGTGTCATGAAGCTGTAATTCGGGGTATTACAAGATGGTGTTGTATAATATTGTAGAATAGTTGTCATGGTTTCACAAACTGACAGGACTAAATGCTCCAAGAGATTCAGAGGTGATGAGGTTAATGTGATAACTGACGTTTATGAAGAAATGCTTTTCCCTTAAACCTTAAAGGTGCTATTTGCAAGTTTTGCTATCGCTACATAGCCAACGTTAGCATTAGCAGCTGTTTACTTATCAGTCTAGAAGAAAAGTTTAGAGTTCAGCATCAAACTTCATTCCTTTACTTGCCAAGCGCCGTCTCCAGCACCGTGTCTTTTAATCGTCTTCAACCAAACATAAAGGTGAAGGGTCAGACACGAGTTTCTTTTGTTTGGCTAGTTCACACGTTCAGTAGATGCTAGTGAGGTTAGCTCAGGTTTGAAGCAGTGATTAAATGCCATGATGTATCAAACTAACTGATGCTTGATTAATTATAAGTTTCTCATGTTGTCTTGAACACATTCTTGTCACAGTTCATTCAGTTATTCATTTATTCTCCGTCTTAGGTTTGCCATGTCCTCCTTGGTGTATATATACCAGTTCACCTACATTCTGCCAGGTTCTTCGTTGTGCCGTCCTAGCTGTTGATTTCCAGCCATTTATTTTTGTATTTACCAGTTTTTGGACTTTGCCCTTTGCCTGCTCCCCTTTTTGTTTTTTTACCTGCTGTCCTGTTACTGACTGCTGCCTGACTTCGTCCCTCGCCAGAGCCCTTACCTGCCCTCCCCTGTATCTCCCTCAGATAAAGGACAACTGTTTGAACATTTCATCAGTGTCTTTGAGTCATGCATTAAAGTTCTGTGTGTTTGTCTGAGCCATGACACATTCCTATGAAAGTAGTTGGTGGAAACATGCACTACTAGGGTCTGTTTCACAAAAGCAGTTTGTGAGCTCTGTGTGTTGCTGGGCTGGCGGCCTCTGTGGGTGACTGTGGCATCATATCAGTCTTGTTGAAGGGCCTCAGTGTTTCCCCCCTCCATTGTCATCACAGCAGGCAGTGTGGGTGAAGTAAGGGATTGTGTGATCCAATGAAGCGTGCTGTTATCAGAGACTTCAACCCCGGTCGTGAAGCTGACATCACCCCATTGCCTCAGTTTGGAGCTGCATGATGCACAGCAGGTCACCGAGGACGGGAGGGAGAACCCCAAAATCACTGCAAAGCCTGTGTTGTCAGTCATCACAGTCTTCCTCTGTTTTGCCTGTGCAGCAAACGAAGGCACATGAACCACTGATTCAGTTTGGTTTATTTCATTTTCAGTTTATGTTACCATATGAGCAACTCAACTCAACTATTGCTGTGTCTCAATTCATGTAAGTATCCTGATGGTGCACTCAAAACAGCCAAAATGGACACTTCTCACCCTCAGCGGTCGCCATCTTGGCTACGTAGTGGAAGGGGAGGGACCACCAACAACGACTGGGGAAGGAGGACACATCGTCGGCGCCAGTGGCGGACTAATTTTCATGTCCATGACACAGGAGGGCCCACACAGGAAAGTAAAAGGAACAAGAACATTTTCAAGTCAAGTGAGCAAAGCAGCCAGCAGGTAATAACGATCACATGTCAAACACTACCCTGTTGAAATTCACATACTCCACCGGCGAATGTCATGTGTACACAGTGTACTACATGGGAGTGTACTGACTGAAGGATCCGATTTGAGACACAGCATCTGAGTAAGAGGATGTGAGAGAATGAGGATTTGAGACTTGAAACTGAGAATTGATCATCTTCAGACTTGACATGAAATCCTTGAACAATAAAAGATTAAGACAGCAGGAGGCCTTGCAGCAGGAGCCTGTGCATTGAATTTTGCGTAAGAAGTTTAAATGTTTTATTTTAACTGTCAGAAACTTGAAAGATTTGAATCTTTACTTGCTATTTGAACTTTAGATATCACTGAATTTAAGAAAACCTGACATATTTAGCATCTGTTTGAACACTGCGTGAAAGAAGACACTCGAGAGTTTAATAAGTTAAGTAACAAGTAAAGTTAAATGATTAGCATTTGGCAAAAGCATGCACAGAATATTTTTAGTTGCTTCTGATCTATTCACCAGGTGGAAAACTACAGGTTTCTGTCAACCAGATTTTGTGTTCCTGCCAACTACAGCAGGGTCTGTGGGGGTTCACACGAAGTCGAACATTTCATTGTAACACTAAAGCTCCCTGTGGTTAACTCAAATCTCAGTCTAAGTATATGCCTCAGAGGAATAAGATATCACACCTGCACTGACTTATCTGTGCTGCTCTGCTGGAGAGAAACAGGACGGAGATAGAGAGTGAGGGAAGCCTGAAGTTTCACTGTCTCAACAACCCAGCTGCTTCCTGATGTGGAACTCTTGTGCCCTCTACTGGTGGAAGGCCAGAACCTGTGCTCGTTCTGGCCTTGTAGAAGGAAGACGAATCATCTGTAGAAAAACTGGAAAGTAGTGTGGTGGCAATTTCTGTAAATAGACTCACTCAAGAGAAAGTCTTCTGTGAATTTATCAGAGTCTTGAGAGTCAGAGAACTTGCAAGTTAAAAGGTTACAGCCAGCGACATGGAATGTATATATATACAGGCCTATATACGTATAGGCCTATATACTGTATATATGATCTATATGCTTTTGCATCTAATCTTAAGTCAAGTAACTGTCTCAGAACAAGTCAGTGTGAACACATCACACCTTATTTAAGGAGATTTTTCTCACTTCCAGTGTTCATTTTGTTTTCCTAGGTCTCACTTATGGTCCCAGAGTACAGGCCATAATGACCTGCACTGTGTTGTACAATTGGTGATATGACTGATAGTGGACGTCCGGAGACACTTTCATCCTCCATTGCTGTAGGGTAACCAAGGTCTCATAGATAAGGAGGTAGAGAAAAGAATAGATTTAGAGAGTAGTGCGCAAATCTAGATATTGTCAAGGATGAGCTAAGTAGGGGAAAGTACAAGATTAATTAGATTTTGGTGGTCCGTAGCATCTTCACACATAAATGTTCAATCACACTTATTATAGGAAACATGCCACTAAAAAAAAACCCCTCTTAGTTCCAGAAAAAGTAGACTGCGCTGTTTGTTGCTCCTCCTCTTTATTCACAACAACACCGTACAAAATGAATCACAGAAAAACATGCAGAACCCTTTAACTCCTGAGTTGCACACTTTACATAGAGGACCAGTGAGCTTCATTTGTGAAAAGTGAGAACCCTTCCAGAAAGAAATAAAACAGATAGAGAGTTATTTTGAGGTAAACAACAGAATGGAAACAGCTAGTGTGAAACATTGCATCATTGTCTTCTTGGCGACTTGTTATAAGGGGCCTCCTGTAGGATGTTGCCGGTGCTGCCATTTTTCCATGTTTCACTGTGTTGTATGTGACGTTCTACACAATCCATTCAGTCCTGTCGAGCGAGCCTCTTAGTGATCACAGCCGAACAGCTCCAGGGATACCCTGCGCTGCTCAGGCAGGGACCTGCTAGCAGTTAACAGCATAGGGCTTCCAAAGTGGTAGAAGTGGTTGCCTACGATCACTTTGAGTCCTAGAGCGTCGCACATGGCGGCATCGACTTTCTTGAAGAGGGCAATCGGATGCTCGTTGCCTGCAACGCGTGGGCTGACCTTCAGGTCCACTTCATAGATTATCTGATCTGGAGGACGGCAGGAAGGAAGACACGTGAGTGGGTACCAGATCTATTTATCAATTGTGGAAAGTTGAAAATTCACCTGCTCTCATGGATTGTGTATTATGTGAGATGCTGTCTGTGTCCTTACCCTTGATGATGTGGGCAATGTGATGATCCCCGCAGATAAAAGCAGCCTCAATGGGACCCTCGATGCCCAGCTCCTCCTTCAGAGGCTTAGGGTAACCGTCCAGGTGGGTGTGGGGCTCGCCAACTTTGTAAAGGAATAACTGGTCATCCTGTGTGTGTGGGGGGGGGGTGATATGTCATGTGTTTTTAGCCTCGAGGAAGAGATGATGACAGGATCAATATGATGTGCAATTGCTTCTTTATAGTTTACCTTGATCATGTAAAGGTGATCCTCATAAGAGAAGACAGCGTCCACCTCACTGTGCAGCTCCTTGAAGGCGTGCTCGATGGTGTCAGCCTTCAGTGTGTCATTGCCCTCATCTCTACGCAGGAAATGGTGGCCTGCAAAAGAAGGGAATCGCTTAAAGAGGCTGGAAATGGTAACACCGCAAACAGAGAAAGTCTTGTTCACATGGACTGAAGTGAACCTGTGGCAACCTCATCTGAATAGTGACCTGCTGTTATTTTGATAGCATGTATTCTGTCTATATAGCTGAGGTAGAGTAGATTTATGGCCAAGTTTGCCTTTAATTTTATGTCTTTGCCACAATATGATTAGATACGCAGCTGTTGGTTTAATGACGTAGATTCAGGACTGTCCTCAAACTGTTTCAGCTTGACTCTCTCTGAGGACTTGTACTTTAGTTTAATGTTAACAAGTCACCTGATATCTATGTTAACAACAAACAGCAGCCTGGTCCCTGGGCAAAGCAAAGAGGAACCATCTCTGAAAAAGTATATCTGCTGTCAGATCTCACCTCTGAAGGCATACATGTTTCCAGCATTGTCAGATGTGATGGCATCAAGGTGAACACGGCTGCAGCGCTCTCTCTCCACATGGTCGCTATCATCACCTAGACAGTGAACAAGCATAAAGTTAATATTAAACAAATATAAATATATTATATTTGACACGACACATTTCAGTAATGTCTCACTGATGATTTTCACTTACTGAACTTGGAGCATCTCATGAAGTAGTCGCGTGCCTCCTTGGGGTACCTGCCGTGCACCTCGCCGGTCTTGGGGTCAAACTTGGAGAACATGTGTCCGTGGAAGCAGTAATAGTGATCCATGAAGTGGAAGGCAGATGTGCAGTTTGGCATGGACTTGAACTCTTTCTCATCCACAGCCTTGGTTCTGACGTTGTAGTGGTAGATGTCGTCTCCTACAGAAGAAAATTACACATGATGTTGAGAAAGCCATAATTTAACTTTCCACCAAATTCCATTAAAATATTCTGTTAAAATAACAAACAGGACCAATAACAACTTCCTTGGTGAAGGTCATTTTTCTAAGGTTTTCTTACAATGAGGTAGGCAAAAATGTGCACTAACCCTTGAAAAAGATGACAGAGTCTTCATCGCACTCTGGCTTGGGACACTCCACGGCAGCGTCAAGGTGGTCAGGGATTCCAGGGAAGACCTCAGAGATATCCTTGGGGTAGCCGTCCTCCAGCTTGTGTTGGTAATAGCTGAACACCTTGGTGTCCTGCATGAGAGCACAACCACAAGTACCGGTTTAAAATGACAAGTTGTCATAAATAACCTCCCACTGTGGGTTTGTGTTTGGTGCTGTATGTTTGCGCAATCAAAAGACTGGACTGTACCAAGAAGAAGAACATGTGGTCGTGGTCGGCGGGGTTGTCCTCGTAGTGCATGCGGAAAGCAGCATCTACGTGGCCCAGGTGGTGATGGTCATCCAGCTCGGCGAAGGACTCATTAGACAGCTCTGCTTTGCCATGGAAGCCCTTGAACAGATGGTCACCTGACAGGAAGTACAGAAACCAGAACATGGTGTGAGTTCACAGAAAGCAACTTAGAGACCAACTGACGCATCATGTTATCATCTGATGAATCCTACCCATGATTCTTCAATATCTAGGGACTTACCCTTGAAAAAGTATGGGATTCCCTCTTCGTTCACGGCAACAGCGTCCATCTCAAGACCTTCGCAACGGTCAAGGACGGCTGCATAATATCATGGCCATGTGACATTGGAAGGAAAGATTTAAATAAAGTAGTCACATTAATGATGAGAAATGTCTGACTTTAGAGTCTAAATGAGTGTGAATGCTTTCCATCAACTCACCTGCTGCGTGCTCTTCCCTGGATGAACAAGACAGAAAAAGATTTTTGATTTATTCTCATTTCAGAGGATGAGGATGCTTCACATTTAGGATTTTAGGTGTAATTCATAAACAGCTGCCAAGTTGAAATCAAGAAATGCACCTTCATCAGCTTAGAATTTGAAAATGAAATTATTGTTGAAAAGGTGCTCTTCAAAATGATCATGTCTTTGTTTACACAAAGCGTATTACTGCAATTCATAAACTCCTCTTCTCAACTTTCCCCCTGGCTTCTTTTCTGTCTGTGCAAACACTCAGATGATTCTGAGTGAAATATTCAAATGCATGATGCCATGATTTCAAGACTGCACCATTATCTTACATGGAAATGCCGTTGATGTCTTGTGTCATTTTTACACTTTCCTAAACTTTAACCTGATACTGCATCTAGAATAAAGTCCTTTTGGTTTTAAAATAAATTTGTACTGGTGGAGCCTCTACTAGTGGCTCATGACAATTCTTGTTGTGTACATATGCTAAAAATCACTCATAGTTGACATTACTGTTGACCATTTTCCAAAGTATGCAAGTAAAGCCTTGCTTGAGATCATTTATCTATTTGTGATGGAAACCATGTCTGCATTTACTGTTGGCAGAGTTGAGTTATCGATGTATGATTATGCAGTTGTGTCTTTTCAAATATGCACTTTAGACCACATAGGCAACAGTGACATAATATTAAGTTCACTGTGATGGATTATATAACAGAAGCTGGAGTTTTAAAAGTGAAAAAGTGAAACCAGCAAGTGGCTGGTGGTGAGAAAAAACAACAACATTTAAAAAGTTTAAAAACTGTATGAGTGTTGTCCCTTTCAACTACTTACGACTGAGCCCATGCCAGGGCCAGGCAGAGACACAGGATGTGGGCGAGCAGCTTCATGGCGAGCAGTCCTCTGGTCCAGAAGAGACTGGAGGTGACTGGAGAGAGCTAGGCAAAAGGTACCCTGCTGCTGCTGCTGCTGCTGTTTATATCATTGCCCAGTTTGCGTGAGCCGGGTCACGTTGGGTGCCAAAGGAGGAGGTGTAGACAATGTGCAGGGTTAATCAAAGACGCCCACAATGTTTGACGTACCCCCACTTGCTCAGACCTCCTACCTGGAAAACAAGTCCTGGGGCGCCAGAGATTCATAGAATTCAGAAAGCTGCATGTTCACCATGAAAATCTAATCAATAGCTGCGTATCTTTTCCCTTACACCATGTCCTGGTACATGCATGTTTCATCATATATTTGTCACTGCTATTGATTACAGACCAAATAAATCTTAAATTCAAATTCAAATGCATTCAAACTGAATATACAGCAGCTGTTTATGCAGCATTGATTCCCACTGTAAACTCTTTTGCTGTCATGTTTAAACATTTGACACCAAAGCAGTATCAATTTTCAAAGAATGTAAAGAATTATTGATTTAACATTTAATATATCTGTGACAATAGAAAGACCTACTGTTAGTACAAGTGCTTCTCTTTGCTTCATACATTGACTAAAATGAACCAGTTTGTTAGTCTTACAAACACTGCCTCAGTTGTTGTGATATGAAACAGTTTATAGAATATTCTGCTGTGCACTGAGGCGTTGGAACCAGAATAAAGAGAATAAAATGTGCATAAACTCTGCATAGGTTTGTTTTCATTATTATTTTGCATTACAATAAACAATATGCTCAAAGAAATGTTTAATCTAACCTGTACTTAATATATTCCAGAACATTCCAGAAGTTTGTGCAGACCGATCAAAACTAGACCCACACCGTGGACCTGGTCCAAGTCAGAGAGGTAACTAACCCAATGAGCCATCAAAAATAAATAAAAACTGCTGAGCACTGCACCTAAGTATGGTGAACATTAACAGAGAATAGTGAGGTGGCCTCATTGTGCATCTATGAATATGTTTAAAGAGTCTAAAAAATACAGGGAAGTGTGTGTAAACTATATAAAATGATGTAATGCACAGATTATATTGTGGTTACTGTCATGTAAAACGAGCAAATAATTTTTTTTTCACTCAAAATGAATGCCAATAAAATAATCATTGTTAAATCGTTGTTAAAATAAAAACTACAGTAATCGATAGAATTTTTGTTTATGAACGTGAAATACAAGTTTCATGCTTCAGCTTTTCACAAAGACGGATGAAAAGGAATCGTGTATCAGATGCTACAGTAGCAGAAATTGAACAGAGCTTGAACAGCAGAGCAGCACGTGAACATAGATAAGAGGAACATCCAGCAGCTAAAGAGCCAGATATTTTTCTCAAGAGTTGGTGAAAACTAAAGCAGAGCTGAAAGAGACTCATCAGACGGACACAAGCATGATTCCATCTGAATATAACTGCTAACATGATAGCCAACAATTGTAAAGTTCATGTTTAGGCGTTACCTACACGAACGATTTAGGAGCAAAAGGAAAAACAATGTGAAAAAGTGAGTATTATTAAACAGTAAGAAAGTGTCTGTTTCCTGAAATAACTGCAGTAAAACTTGATCTTTTACTTTTAATGCTGAATTTGGGTAAAGGTATTAACAATTAAGCAAACAATGTAACCCAATGTGTATAACATACAACCTATAGAAGCCTTGTCCCTATCAGTACAATTAAACAAAATTTTAAATGGAGTTCTGTGACCTTCTTCCTGCACATTTGAGATAAGACTGGAAGTGAGTACAATTGAAGAATATTTCACTGAAAAAAACCTTGAGATGATGGACAGATCTCTCTGTGAACGTTTTTCATAGCAACTACTTTTTGCTGAAGTAAAGGACACTGTTTCTGTTGCTTTTGTGTTTTTCTTTTCACCTCCATTGAATTGGGAGGGAAGAAATTTTAGAGAATGGTATTTCAAAACCAGAGCACAGGAAATCCAAACTAACTGGTTGGATACCATGAGGTGTAGATGAGAAAATGTGATGACAAATGTTATGAAATTTGTCAGTCCATGACAGCAGCAGAGTGGGTTTCTTTAGGCTTTAGGAATTTCAACAACTCCCTCCTCTTTCCCTCCATCTCTCCATCCACAAATCCCTTTCACTTTCTCCTCCCATCCATCCCCTAACTCCCTCCCTCGCGCCACGCTTTTCCCATTCCTCCATTGACTTGATCTCATATTTTTCCCTCTCACCCCTCCCATCTCGCTCATGCTTCTCCATGCATTTTTCCCTTTGTCCCTTTTCATCCCTGCCTTCCGTCACATCCACTTTCTATCGTATATGATATTGTTGTGGCGGTATCCATGAATGAGGGTCAGTTTCTGTTTACATGTAAGAAATATACTTAGGAAGTAATACACTGGAGTCTTTTTACAGGATATTATATATCCTACTTACCTGTAATTGTGAATATTACAATACATTTTCCATATTCATGCCTGGAAGAATCTTGTGATACGATTTCAGGCACCCTTTAAGGGGACCATACCATTTCTTAACCTTTATGTTAGCTTAACGTCTCGTTTGCCTGCCTCACTCCATCAGTGGCATCTACTCCTGTGTGTCGTACAAGCAAATTGAGACACTGTAGGTAAATGTAGCAGTAGCTAACTGTTTAGATTGTTTAATACACTTTACTTTCTTACCTTCTGAATTTCTGTCGAGTATCTATGGATGACTGCTAATGTAGCTAGTTTCTAACTTTAGCCTGAAGTTACAGTTTAGCTAACTAATGATAGCTAGTCTCTAACTTTAACCTGACGTTACAGTTTAGCTAACTAATAATGGCTAGTTTCTAACATTAGCTTTAAGTTATATGCTAGCTGACTATTAATAGCTAGTTTCTAACTTAAGCTTTAAGTTACAATTTAGCTAAATAATGTTAGCTAGCTGATGGCACACCTTGTCATTTCCAGTGTTAGCTTGTCATTTTGTTTCCAATATAAAATAAGATAGCAGACACTGGTGTTGTATCAGTTGTTGTAAAGATACGTTTTGACATCAGTATAGAGTTTATTATTTAATTTTAATAGTCTTTGTGTGTCTCCAGTTCGCCCTTGTATTTCCATTTTATGCTACTTTATACTTCCACTCCACTACATAATTTCAAAGGGAAATATTGTACTTTCTCTCCATATATAGGCCCATATATATACTGTATACATAGTGGAGCTGTATAACCAATTTTACCCATGCAACAAATGCATGTGTTTTTATTCACAGTGGTTACCAATGGTTACAGGCAGCCATGTTGTTGCAGACAGATCTACACAAACATTCAGTGAGCCCCCGTTGAGCAATGATACCGTAGAGAAGTCTGTACACAGTGATCAGTGTGTTAACTGGGGTTTAACCTTGACTGAAGCAAAGGCTCCAATGCTCCTATCACGTTGTGCACATACTGAATAGTATGAGTTCGAAAGTGATTTTTCAATAAAGATGTTTTTTTGTTTTTGTTAATATTCGAAAAGGGCTCAGGGCTCTTTTAGTCATTATTTTCTAATTCACATCATTTTGTTTTCATTTTTGCTTATCAAGAACAGCACTTTATTTCCTGCATTACCCTCCCAGCTCCTCTTAGTAAACCGCTTCAAAAACCTTTCCATCCTGCCAGTGTGTCTGAATTTTGGGCCTAACTCTGTCCACCAGCACTACTGAACCATGACAGTCTGCCATCACTGTTAAGAGCTGATAAAGGGTCACCTGCTCAGGCCAGTCAAAGGGCATCTGGGCTAGCCAACTCACCTTTACCCAGTGTTCATGGATGAGAGCCATGAAAAACTCCTTACTTCTACTAAAAGTAGAAAAAAACATAGAAATGCTTGGGTAGTGTGTGGTTCTCTCCACTAGAAAACAGTTTCCCTGCTGCCTTAAAAAGAATTTTCATTAATTTAACTCATCAATTCAAGTCAGGAAACTTCAAATGTGTTTCTAAAATCTGAAATGGTTTGAAAATGAAAATGATATCTCAAGTTGAAAACTAAATGTTTTAAGTTGACATAAGTTGATATTATTAAAGCTACAACTGTCAGTAGCAACTGTCATCAAAACCTGAGATCATGAGAACATGAGCCTAAAAAAAAGTACATCTCCTCCCCAGTAGATGTACTTTCTCCTTTAATCTCACTCTCTGCCAAACACACACACACACACACACACACACATACACACACACACACACACACAAACTCACACACAGGGTTATGAGATCATAGCTAGTAAATTATGGAAGATCTTTATCGACAGAACTGTTGAGGCAGAGAAAATCGATGCTACACACAGAACTCCCGGGAACACATTCGAAACATTAGAGCAAGTTTTGAGAGCGAGCACTGAGAGGCTCCTGAGCACAATCAGATATCTGACCCTGAGAGACGACAGTGATTTAACTGAGCTCCCACCAAATCAAGATTTTAAGCTTAAACCTTGTTCAGTTCAAACATTGAGTGTCTGATGACACAGTTATTACATAAACAAGCAAATAAACTGTATTTATAATTCACTTTGCACTCTGCACTACCCAAAGTAGTGTTTTACATAAGGCTTTCGACAACTGAGAAAAGTAGAAGTAGAAAAGTTTAATGAACTGGACATAAAGTACATAGACCATCAAATACAAAGTCTTATAATCACAAAAATCTGAGTTGAAGATGCCACCGATTTGGCATCTTTGAATATTTAGTAATTACTGCCCTGATATAAAGAGACTAATAATCTTTCTGAATCTCTTTTTGTTGTTTGTGTTGCAAATTGCAAATTCATGTTCAGTGAATTGTTGTGTTGCAGTTTTGGGATATTTCTGTCCGGTGACTTTGAACTTGGTTGATCCCAGATCATTGTCCTTCATTGCCGTTGACATTCACGAACAAACAAAAGACGTGACTAACAGGGGTTGTCTTTGCCTGTGTATCCAATGCCAACAGGCCCACGCTTTCATGTTTACATCCAAGACTTGTGTATTTAGATACCTTTTTAAAAGTACTTTTACTTTACATTTGAATTTACGGACAGAAATGGGCACATG